TTAAAGGTCTTTTGCAACCTAAACGATTCTATGATTCTATTAACTCTAGATCTTCTCATGCCTCATTCCCCTAAGGATGTCTGTGAGCCCTGGAGCCGAAGTGTCCAAGAGCTCCCAGATCCATACAGCAAAGCTGGTAATTTTGGCTTACAGTTGTAACCAACCACTGAATAGGGAAGGGGAAAGAAATGCAGTAAACAAAACAAAATCATTAGTTTGAAACTTCTACCCTGCCCCTACAAAACATGCTGCCCTCCCACACAGCGACGCGGGCGCCGACGCTATCCCTGTCTTTCCAAGGACCTGGACACACATGCATGTGAACAGCAAAGCCAGGAAGAGTCCAAGCCCTGACGCTGCAATGAGGGCACTTGCCCAACGTAGGAGGCGAAGGACCAAGCCTGGCCCTGCCCCAAACCAGGTGGGAACCCAGCCTTCAAGTTGAGGGATGAGGGGAGGAGGAGACGCCCGTTTCCTGAGGATTTGGCCCGTAAGAGCGGCTGCAAAAGCTACCATGTTCCAAGCATCAGTTTCAATTTCAACTAATCGGGAGTTCCCTCAAAATATATTATCATGTTGGAAAACACTCATATCAGCAACCTACAGAAAAATCACCTTGAGAAATAGATTTGGCCCCACAGATGTTTCCCTGGCATTAAAACACGTTGCTTTTTATAGGCAGAACCAACAAAACATGGTCATTTACCACTAACCTGCCTGCAAGACTTTGTTCATTAATTCTCAGTGAATTCACATTTATTACTGATAGTTTTTATTTAACAGCAGGTTGAATCACATTCTCCTTCAAAGCTCTTACTGGCAAGCTGAGGTACCAGCAAAACTTAAAGATCTCCTTTGACAGAAAAGCATTTTACATTTTCAAAGGCTCAGCTCCACTTCATCTAACCTTTAAAAAGGGGAACGTGCAATTTTTACCATGTCCCTGAAAACAAGTCACCCAGCACAACTCCACTAACTTTTGTTGCTACTGCACAACACCTAAATATGACCCCTCTGACTTAACAGCATTCTTCAAACCTTTATGGGGCAAATATGCTGCTGCTTTCTCTGCTGGTAAGCACAATATATGCTAAGTAGTTCACATTCTTTGCATCATAAACATTTTGTGGAAGTTTCATGCAGCCTCGCCCCACTTTCCACACAAATAAAAGGAAGAAGGTGCTCCACTGTGGTCAGAGGGAACTGCACCCTGGAATCTGCTCCCAGCACGTCGCCTGCACCAGTCCTTCTCCCACCAGCAACCATGTCCTGCTGCTTCTACAGCATCAGCTCCGGCCATGCCATCAGGAATTTCAGCTCTGCAGCTCTTCCCAGGAATCGATGTAGTTTCAGCACTGCCTCGTGTCACTGGGGTGGTGGCATGGGCTACTGTGGTTTGGGTTACTTCAGCAGCAGAAGTCTGGATGGTGCGGCATTCTCCAGGCCCAGAACAGCTGTTGGAAGATGTCCTCCTCCCAGACGTGGATATGGCTTTGGTGCAGCTGGCATGGGGTTCAGCTACAGAGGTGCTGGCTTTCGCTACAGGGTTCATGGAGTCTCCAGGCCATGCACCATCATGCCCATCACCATCACCAAGCAACTGCTCCAACCGCTCAGAATGGAACTCGATCCCAGCACGCAAACGGTGAAGTACCAAGAGAAGGAGCAGATCAAGACCCTGAACAACAAATTTGCTTCTTTCATTGACAAGGTGAGCTGGGAACCCCTCCTCAGCTCCAATTTGCAGGCACTAGAGTCCAAGCGAGGTGCCTAGCATGGAAAGGGCATGAAATCCTTGTAAGACAAACTCATTTCAGGCATTGAGGGCAACAACTTGCATAAGGGTACCAGTTGAGCACCGAGGTGTTTATCAGCCACTGGGGAAGCTTCAGTGTGTGGGCACTATTGATCTGATCTCTAGGCCTGACTGCAGGGTGGGAACAAGCTAAAATCAGTTTCATCAGCCTTCCAGTTCCTTCCCGTTCCTCTCTGCACATCCCCAATCTATTGCAAATCACTCCTTTCTAAAAGTGCTTACATTTTTGTGCATTTCCACATGGGTGGCCCAGAAACAGCCTATGCACAAAAGCACACTGGATTAGGAAACACTGCATTCACATGTACCAAGAGCAGGAACACACATTTCATTGCTGTTGCATGGACACTGGCTCTCACAAGCCCTTAATCCTTGTCTTGTTTCCTATTTTACTTTCTGGGATTCAGGTTCGACTCCTGGAACAGCAGAACAAGGTGCTGGGGACCAAGTGGAGCTTTCTGCAGGGTCAAAACCACTGCAAGAATACCATCATGCCCATGTTAGAGGCTTATGTTGGTAACTTGAAGAAGCAGCTGGAAGCACTGGGGTGCAAGAGAGCCCAGTTAGAAACAGATCTGAAAGCAGCACAGCAGGTTTTGGAAACCAACAAGAAAATGTAAGTAAAAAACAGAGAAATGTGAGTGCAGGGCTCAAAATGTTATTTGAGACTTGTAAACAGGCAGAGACCATGAACTTTTCGTGGTAGTAAATGGTTCCCAGAGAACTAGTAGGTAGATTGAGATATCTACCAGGATCTCAGGATATAAAATAAAATCCCAGTTTACAGAGAGATGGAGGAAACAGAGGATGTCCCTCTTCCAGGTTCTCTTTCTCTCCTTCCTAATTCAAGGAATTAACATTTAGAAATGTTCAGCAGCTATTTGCTGTTGCAGAGGTCAAATGAAAATACTTCTGCTGAAAATTTGTGAAGACACAGAAACCTCTCTGAAAACATGTTTGCTTTCCCATGGGCTACGAAACAAGACCAAAGCATCCCAAAACATTGTTTGGGGAGAAGGAAAAAAAATGAGGAGTTTCACTTCTTGAAAGAAGGCCTGCAGAAACCCAAACAAAGGTGTAATTGCGCTGAACTCAAACAAAATCTCCCATTTTCCCACACAGGTACAAGGACGAACGCAGCCAGCGGACGTGCACCGAGAGCGAGTTTATTGCCCTGAAGAAGGTGAGCAAGGGGCTGTTTGAACTCTCCTCTCCAGGTTCAGGTCTTTGGGGTGCACGCAGTGATTTATTTCCCAAAAGCAGCACACAAAACAAGTACAAGCAGGAGCTGGTGCTTGGGTTTGCTTGAACTCCAATCAGCGGCAACTGTGTAATTGGGAGCTGGCGCATGGTCACGGTACCAGCACTGAAAGTCCCTCACCCCAAGGGTAGCCCTGAGTCTGCTCTCGCTAACAAACTTCCTTCTTCTATCCCCAACGCGTCTCCAGGACGCGGACTGTTTTTTCTTAAACAAAGAAGAGCTGGAGGCCAAGGTGGAAAGCCTGAAAGAAGAGCTTGAATTCCTGAGAATGTCCTATGAAGAGGTAAGAAGCCTCCCTACTGCTCCACCCATCATTTGCACTTCCCAGCCGGATTTTGAAGTTGGTTATCCCAAAGGACAGGAAGAGGGGGTAACGCAGGGCAGTGGTCATCACTTGCAGTGAATGGTGAGACTTGGCAACTCATCTCTGCTTGGTCACTGCAAAGGGGGACAGAGGTGCACAGTGCGGGTGACACATCAGCTTGGGGCTGGACCTGGAGCACAGCAGGACCAGCACCTCTCTGACCAGCTCAACCCCATGTCACCACCAGGAAATTCACCAGCTGCGGGCCCAGATCTCAGATACTTTGGTGGTCATGCAGATGGACGATAGCCGAGATCTTGACTTGGATGGCATCACTGCGGACGTCAAGGCTCAGTACCAGGACATTGCCCGCAGGAGCTGGGCAGAAACGCAGGCCTCGTATGAAAGCAAGGTGAGAAAACCTGGCAGAGGGAGGGTTTGGGTGCAGTTTCTCTCTTCAGACCAACTTCAGACCCAGAGAAACACCCCCTACTCTCCTGATGTGCCCTGATTTAACTCAAAGCGTGTGTTTTTGGGATATGCAATGATGTCTTTTGCGCTTTTTTAGCTTGAGGAGCTGCAAGTCACTGCAGGCAGAAATGCTGACAGCCTGCGAAAGACAAAAAACAAGACAGCTGAGCTGACACGGATAGTCCAGAGACTGAACAGAGAAGTTGGGATCGCCAAGAACCAGGTGAGCACAGCCGGGTCTGGCTGTTTCAGCAAGGCAGAGTGTGAATTACTGTTCCTGCAAGCTCCCACAACTAAATGAAATGGTGCTGTAGCACCTTGCAAAGGGTGTTCGTGGGCTGGGACTCTGCTGCTCCAACTAGGGCTGCATTAAAGCCCGACTCATGCAGCACCTGAAGGCAGATGTGGTTACAGCATCCCATTCCCTGCGAGCAACAAGAAGGAGCAATGAAACTGCACATCCAGCTCCCTCAAACACCTGCCAGACTGCATGTCCCTCTTACTGCAGTGCTGAATGCACAACCAGACTTCAGACACGTCTCTTGATAATGCATTATGTTTGAAGATAGCAAGAGACAGGTAAGACCGACCATGTCTCGATCCTTGCAGCGCTGCAAGCTGGAAGCCACCGTGGCCGACGCTGAGCAGCGTGGGGAAACAGCCGCCAAGGATGCGAGGCACAAACTCTCTGAGCTGGAGACAGCCCTGCAGCAGACCAAGGCAGACCTCACCCAGCAGCTCCACAAGTACCAGGAGCTCATGAATGTCAAGCTGGCCCTGGACACTGAGATCGTCACCTACAGGAAGCTGCTGGAAGGAGAGGAGAGCAGGTGAGTGACAGACCCCTAGTTGCACAAGCTACTTTAGATGCATGTGTTGAAAGGAAGAACAGCTGGCCAGTGCTGGTTTGGAGCTGCCATGCTGCAAGTCATCTACGCAGTCCTGATGCAGATCAGTTCTTCCTATCGGTCCTAATAGACCTCGACCAGTGCAAACCCACCCAAACGGCCAGTCCTACTGCCTCCAAACAGCAATAGATAGGCTAGAGAGGGTCAGGCTCACATTTGAGCCTAAAGGGCTTTGCATTTGAAGATAGATTGATAATGTGCAACCTCTTCCCATTCTCTACAGGCTCTGTGCAAAAGAAGGCTCCCCTGTCAACATCTGTAAGTTGGCATATTCACCTTTTATCAAAGTCTGGCATCTTCTGCCTTTTCTCCAGGGAATTCCCTAAGCTGAAACTCACCTTTGCTCTGCCTTTTACAGCTGTCTGCCATTCGCAGGGAGGTCTCACCTATGGCCCAGAGCCTGCCTTTGCAAGTGCCCACGCGTCAGCCAACAGAAACGCGTGCTGGATGAGCAGCGTGGGGGTCTGCGGCACAGCAGTGAGCTGCAGTGGTGGTGTTAGCAGCAGGAGCACGAGGAGCTCCCACATGAAGGTGGTGTCCATGGCCAAGACAGCCAGGAGCAACATGTAAAGAGCTGTAGATAAATGGCAAGGCTGGGAGCAAAGCGACACACACGCTTTTCTGCCAACACACAGCAACAGCCAGGCCAGAGCCGGATTGTGTGCACCCAGCTCCCCCAGGCTGCACACCCATTTTCCGTGAATGACGATACAAAAAGCGAAGAGGGCTTTTCTATGGTGAAGACTTTTGCTATTTCTGCTAGGGAATCTAGGAGCAAGAAGGGCTAAAATCCCCCTCATCACTCCCATTGTACAGTTAAAACAAGATGCCTTTGGTGTAGTCCCCTGGTCTTTCCACTCCTACAGATTCAAGGACTAAAATGAAGCGTGAGAGAGCGTACCTTCTACCTAACAGCATTTTCATTAGACCTTTATCTGGCCCAGTTGTCTTAGCAGCTCCCACCCTGGATCAACCTAGTTTTATCAACCAGCCTTTTAGATCACACATACATCTCTGGCATGAGCAGAACTCACCCCAAATTGCCTAGCTTGCAGATTCCCTACATATTGCATCGATTTCATTGATTATCTGCCCCAAAGGATAGATTTCAAGGGCTGTTGCTGTTTGAAGGCAGTTTGCTTATGTACTTGCATTATTTGTTTTGAAACTGATCCTCAACTTTCCTTTTCCTTCTGGATTTTTAATGGTCTGCTCATCTGTTGCCATAAATGTCTTCATAACTGAAGAGTCTGGGGGCCAGAGTCCTTTGTCAGGTATGAAAGGGACCGATCCACTGATGCATCTGGCCCTAGGACACAAAGTTCCTCTGTGATCTTGTTCAAGGGATCCAGACTCAACCTTAAACACATGGGACCAGCATCAATTGCCTTCCCAGTTGTCCAGTATCAAGCACACTGAACTGCTAGTGTAAGTACATTAACCCTATTTGGGAAGAAAAAGAGGAAGCAGGGATTTATTTCTAATGACCTTATATTTTGTCAGCAGCTTTCATCCTAGTTTTAGTCTTGCATCTCCAATAAATTGACATAGCAACTCAGTTACCTTCATTCGACACCTTCATTTGGGGAAAGGAGGGTTAATTCTTGTCTCTGCTCCAGGATCTCAATGCTAAAGCTTACAGGGGTCTAAACCAGGCACAGGCCAAGCCCTCCATCCACTGGGAGCTCTTCCTTCCTAACCCAGACACTGCACCTCAGTGGTCTCCCACAATATCCAAAGCATCTGTTCTCCATGCACGTGAGCAGCTATGCAAGGAGAGGGGTTATAACCTCCCTCCAGAGCACCACTGAGTTGGGAGTACAGCTCTCTTCTTCCTCACTCCTGCACACGAGGAGCAGGATCCATTCCACCCAGTGCTGAGTGTTTATGACACAGCTGGCTGCCAGCAAGGCACGAGAAACAGGTGCTTCCCAGGTTAGATGTCTTCATTAGGACAGGGTGGAGCCCCAAATGATTTTTTTCCCCCAGGAAAAACAAACAAACAAAAACATTTAGAGGGCACTGACTAAGCAAAGCTACTCTAGCAATTTGCATAAAGCTAACTGAAAATTTTTATTACTATCATTGATTGCTAAATCCCCTTAAAACCATCACTGATTGCCTTGAGTTGCCTAAGAACTCCTCAAAGCCATATACGAGGAGCTGCTGGACTGTTTCACACTCCCTTGTCCTTCCTCCCATCCTGGCACCAGACCAGGTCCTGCTCAGCTCCCCAGCAGGGCACAGCTTCATGGCAGCGACCCCCTGGGCAAAGCACCCCACTCCCAGCCCACACTGCACACCTCTGCCCAGGCTGTGGCTGCTCCAGTGCAGGAGCACAAAGTGCCACCACCTCCAGCAAGAGGCTGGAGGACCTCTTTCCATCTCTGCTCTATGGGGTGTTGCCCTTTATAACCTCATCAAGCCAATTAGGCTTCCCATCAAGCTAATTAGGCTTCCCAGGTGGAAGCCTTCCCAGGATCGGAGCTGTCTCCCCCCCCACACACCTTGCTCCTCCCTGCCCAGTGGGAGCTGGGGACTCAGCTCAGCCCATACTGGTTTCGTGCCATTTAATTCCTTTGAAACACAAGATGAAAATCAAAATCAACCTCAGAGCAGGGTTTTGGCTTGGTAGTTACTGAAAAACTGACAGAAACTAAGGCAAATGCAGCTTAAATACCAGGGAACTGAAGAAAGTTCCCCAACACCTGCAGCTGCCTTTTCAGGCCTGGTTGCATCCAACTCCTCACCCTTCCTCTGCCTCAGTTTCCCT